CCCCCCCCCCCCCCCCCTTCTTCATTTTAGCAGTGTGGAACAAAACATGGTAGTGAGCAAATTACATGAATATTGTAGGAATCAAGTAGAAGTCATCAGTCTTACTGTATAACTATGTCCTACCTGAACTGTCATTGAAAATGACTGCCTTTTAGTCCAAGTGAACAGATATAGAAATTGTTAAATGTAGTACACATTGAAAATGACATGTACACCACGTCCCTTGCTGACAGTGCTAAAAGTACATCTTTAGCGCCTGATGAATCAACAATGTTGAGCCTGATGAAGGGACCCTGCAAGGTCCCGAAAGTGCTTGTTTTTCAACTGACAAATCTGTTCACTAAAACGAACAATTGATTATCCTAAAAGGATTTGTGTGCTGGTGACATTCTTCTCTACCAAACTTATGCAATAGCGGCGCCAGCTGCAGACATTTCAGCACCTATCCCCATCATTGGGTAAGTAATGCTACAAGTTCTTCTCTACAACCTTAGAGTATCTGTATAAATAATATCCCACACATCGTGCCAATGCTTAAATCCCACTTCCTGCCTTCTTATTATTGTTCTTCAAAGCTTTAGAAATGATAAATGCAATATAGAATACCTTTGACGTCATGTGACATCTGAGCCGTTGATTATACAGCTATGCTCGGACACCTGGAGAAGGGACTGGGCAGCAACCTCATAATTTCCTACAGATTTTCTGGACTACATGTCCCATTATTTCTAGGCACGGTATTTGTGTCCCTGAACGCAGTCACAGGTGAATGTCTAACTCCTGTCATAAGCTGATCATAACAGTATCTTACTAATTTTACTTCAACCTGACACCAGCACAATAGCCGAGTACTACACAGGAGTGGTGAGGAGACCAGAGTGATGAGCAGGCATATGGGTCTGATCCCTCAGACATGAAATCAAGAGGAAAGTGCATGGGAACAATGACTGAGGGCTTGCTCACACCATTTCCAGACCAGATCTGGATGAGTTTCTGCAAACACAGTCATGCATGTTTTGAATGCGTTCTGGTGCATTTTTTTCCTTCTCATTTGACTTTGCTTGGGTTTAAACCAGATCTGGTCCAGAAAATGGTGTAAACCTGCCTGCAGTTCGTGCATGCCAGACCAGACAAAATGAGACATGCAGTATTTTTCTGGTCCGGAACTGACTGCACTGGTGTGCCAGATACCAGAAATAGCATAGGGATACATTAGTATGCATTTTGGGTCTGGAAACAATCTGGTCTGGAGATGATCTGCGTGTGGTGTGAATGGGCCTAATAGCAAATCTCAGGGCATTCTGACCTGAGAAAAAAATGCAGCATGCTGTACTTTGCTTAAAAGCTCTGGAACTGAACGCAATGGTGTGAACTAGCCTCATTCACCATTGGATACACCTATGCGTTTTTGGTGCAGATAAAAAAAACAAAAAAAAAACCTTCTGGAGATGGTGTGAACTGGCCCTCAGGATATCACAGTAAGTTGCATGAATATATATTTTCCAGAAAGTTAAGGAAAGAGATAGTTAACTTTGAATTGTGCCCAGATATATATTACGGCTATGCATGCTGTTTAGCCAAAATTAGCAATAAATATAAATGTCTTCCCATTTTATGAGTGGTCATATGTACGAGTAAAGGCCGCCGTCATCTCTACCACTGCTGGTTTCTGCTGAGCCTGTCACTATACTGCTTCCACACTGCTGTCATCCATTACAGACTTCAACCCCTACAGCTGCAGCCCTGGTTATCTGGTGACAAGTGCCTATACACTAACTTAATTGTAGGAGCTTTCTGTTACTATTAATCCCCAAGACCTGTATCCTTTCATTTTTAATGTGACCACCATTTTCGACCATCTTTCCTCCACATGTGTGATAGTGATTCAGTAACCCGATCACTTCCAGTAGCATGCCGCCCCTGCTATATATACACCAGGTCCCTCTGCTCCTCTTGTGGACCCGGGACAGCCATGACGGTGTTGGCAGCTGAGAAAATCTGATGATCGCCTCTTCATTTAATGAACCCGGAAGCGTTGAGGCTTTTGTCACTCCTGTGTTTAGTGCTGCCATTCCCCAGCTGCTTTGGCCAGGGATGAACCTAATTAAGCTTGATTTGTGCTTGATCATCTTTATTGGGCTGCAAAGGTCTGAGACTGATAATATCTCCCCTTTTAAGAGAACCTGTCACCATTATTCAGCTATCACGAAGGGGTCTCGGTACGCCTTATTTAATAGCAATAAAAGTGTAAAGAAAAAGTTTAAATACAATTAAACCCCCCCCCACCCCCCCGAAAAAATATATATAAAGCCTCCGCCACACACAGACTCATACTCTGGGTGTGCCTACATATGAAAACAATGACTGTACCACACGTTGAATATTGCTGTGCACTCTATAGGGCCATTAATTATGGTAAACTTTTAATTAACCCTTGCAGTGGGGTTTACTGCTCATTTTTGTTAGGTGCTAAAATAAAAAATAAAAAATTATGCTCACCCAAACCTTGGAGTCGGTTTGTTCTTAGACCAGTCCTTCAGCTGTCTAAGGTCCAGGAGTCATCACATTCTATGCACAGTGAGGAGGGGGGGAATTTATCAAAACTGGAGAAGATTTGCACTGCAGCCGATCAGCTTCTCTGCCTCATTTTTAAAATCTTACCTGATCAAACTGAAGAGAGATGCTGATTGGTTGAAATGAGCAACTGCTCCAGATTCTGTCTGCTCCAGTTTTGATACATTCCCCTGTGTGTTTGACATGGACGCCAAGGGACAATCCATAGGGGTAGACAGGCTGGAGGGAGCACAGGGAAAGACGGCTGGCTTTGAGGTTCAGGTGAATAGAACTCTGGCAGCAAAAGGGTAAGGCCCCACTTACACCTAGGCATTTTTCCATGCATAACTGTGTACACTGAAACGCTCTAGGCAAGATACCCCATTTATTTCTGGTCATACCTGAGCGTAGTGTCGCACGTAGAAAAACACGCGTTGCATGAAAAAATACAGCAGCTTCTTTTTGGCAGATTACAGCACTTTTGTCCCCAATGACGCATGAAAAAAATACAGCAGCTTCTTTTTGGCAGATTACAGCGCTTTTGTCCCCAATGACTCAATAGGAAAATGCACAACATAAAATTGTTTTTGCACACTTTTGCCCATTTACAGCAATGCATCACAATCTGCTCACACAAACGTGCAACTTAATGCATGCACGCAAAAATGCCATCACCCATGTGTGAACGCAGCCTTAAAGTATGTAAAACAACACAAACCATACCCTAGTGAGCTCTGCAGTGTACTCCTACAAAGCAAGATTTTGATAAATTCCAAGGCACTTACCATCACCCGTGACATAAAGCTTCTCTTCATATGGAGTCCCTGTGTATTCCAGCAGCAGCCGAATGGAGTGAGCCAACTTTACAATGTTATAAAGAAAGGAAGAGAGAAAAAGTCAACCGAATGCTTAAAATGATCTCCTGCTCAGCAATTCCTCACTTTCTATAATACTCAGTCGGCTATCTTACCCCTCGGATATCCCAATAGCCCAGAATCATCATGTTGTACGTAACTCCTCTGCACACTACACTGACTGAACCTTCCAGGCACTCTCTTAACAGGATACTTAACTGGTCAGGTCATGTGAGATTCCAGCCAATAGGTATCAAGTATTCTCCTCCACACCCCTCTCTAGCCTCCCCTCCCTTCTGAACGTTCAATGCTAATGCCATGGTTCATGTGTTTGAGCTGTGTGCTGGAGCTACGATTCTACAAAAGATTGCCATAGAGGGGACAAAGCTGCATTTATTAAAGGGAAATTCCACCTTTTATAGAAAGAAAAAAAAAAAGCACACACTGCTATAGACTGATATATACACTTCTATATTATAGAAGCAAAAATATTTAATAAGAATTTTGTTTGCATTTGTTTGCATTAGAGCCAGTAAAGCGTTGCAACGTTGCTGTACTTCAGCAGTCGTGTATTTACAAATCCTGCTGCCCTAGGCAAGAGAGCAACGCCGCCCCCCAACGCTCCAGGCCAACGCCTTGTTTGCCTCGCGGCAGATATGCCCCTGTACCTCGGTACGGACATTCAGTAACGTTTATGGGAAAAAGAATGAGTTAAATACTGCGCTGAATTCCCCGGACTTGTATTGCACTGAAAATGACACGTCCCTCTGCCGCAGTGGCTGATGGGACCTGTAGTTTCCCCATTTGCGGACCCTGTCAAAGGATCTGTGAATGGATGAAGTGGCTGTGTGGGCGGAGCCACACACTGCTATGCCAAATTCAAAAAAGTAAACAAGCCTGTGGGGAGAATGCTGCATAGTTCCATAGTATTTGAGGTTGAATAAATCCACAGGTCCATCAAGTTCAACCTATTGTGTGCGAGTGTGTCTCTTGTGCGTGCATGTGTGTCTTGTGCGTGCATGTGTGTCTTGTGCATGGATGTGTGTGTAAGAGTCCCTGTGTGGTCTAGTATTTAAGTGTACCTGTATCCCTGTATGTTCCCGTCTCTTGATGGAATCTAATTGATTTTTGAACGAGTCAATATTCTTTGCAGATACCACTGCTTGTGGCAGAGTTTCAAAATGTAACCACTATGACTGTGGTGAAATCTTTTCTCCACCAATTTTAGGTGTGGCCTCTAGTCTTTGTTATGACTGGCCAGAATGTGATGTCACTCGGGTCCGGGCACCTCTACAGGACAAGTGAGGGAGCAGTAAGCTATGCATGTATGGATGGAGCTCCCTCGCAGCCATATCCCCAGCCCACTCCACCCCACGCTGACACTGGCGCTGGGCAGCATATTTTGAATGGCTGCTTGTTGTGAGAACTGTCAGTGCTGTGCTAGGGGGAGGCTGAGGGGCCTCTCACGTAGAAAAGTGGAAGTCATGCGATGACCCACTGAACACGGGGTCGCGACCCCCTTTTGGGTCACTACACACCAGTTGAGAACCAAGGCTTTAGACCACAAGGTAGTAACTCTACTTACAGCACTGCTATTAATGACAATTTCCAGTCAATTGCGGATTTCTTGTGTTAGTAAGCTATTTCTTAATTGATAGCCTCCCCCTAACCCAAGTTCTTGCAAAAGCCAGTCACCATTGGTGAAATGTATGCCCCTCTCTTGAAACAACCAGCATGCAGATTCCAGCTGCTATTTCATGTGTAAAATACTGGATAAAGTAAAGGGAGAGGGAAGTATAACTTATGTAACTTAGTGAGTGACTGTTCTGTCTGGACCATGATTTAGACCTCGATGAAAATTTTACTCACTGGATCTCCTTGAATTTTAATTCACTACCCCTTCTCTATGGGCTACTGCCAAATCCTGAGCACCTGGCAACCAGGAATAGAGCCCAAGGGGCTGAGGGCGATCAGCCTGAGAGACTGATCATCACTGCAGATGGTGGCGTGGCTAATGCAGGCACAGGTGCTACAATGTGCACCCATAGAGAGATGCAGCCTCATTTGTACCAGCCAGAAAAGAGAATAAAAAGTGCATGCCCTGGAAGTTCCACCCCTTCCAAGATGTCAATGAAAATGGACACACGTGAAGATGGTAAAGAAACGCGAGAGGCCCCGGACACAAAGCACCCCATCGCCTCTGTAAAAAAGCTCTGGGCCGGGAATTAACTCTGCAGTGAATTCACAGTAAAGAAAGGATCAAGCTAAGGAGACATCCATTCTCCTAGAAGACACTAAGCTGAATGGAGCATGGTGTGAGTTATAGCCCCTGTGGGCTGGCCTCTAGGTTTTTTGTGCCTAGAGTATACTCTTATTGTAGGTGGGTGGGCAGTATAACTCATGGTATCTTATTGGTATTCTGTGTCCCTTCAATGGGGGCATAGAAATCCAATAAGATTCTTCTTAGCTACTGTACAAGCTCTGATGTCTCTTTACTGGCTTGCGCACAATCAGTCTCACATGGGCGAATGTCGATAAAGATAATGAATTGATAGAATTTCCCTTTTTTTCATCTCTGCTGTTCTACAGCCTTTTTAGCTACTTGTATTTACAAACATGCTCCAGGAGCAGCTACATATCGTTTCTCACGGTGGACTTCTCAATAGTGACAACAGCGGAATTCCTGCAGGAAAGTATTACGAGGAGGAACAGAGTATTGCCACAAAGTGTCTGAACCAGGAATTTCATGGCAGGTTGCCCAAGGTAATATTTCAATGAAAGCAGCAAATTTCAAAAACTTGAAAGATTAAAAATTAGTTTTTAAATGATCCTAACATGTTAGATTTTAGTGATTGGGTTTAGATGTACTTTAATCCATGTTCCTGAGCTGTTGAAACATGTTTCCAAACCTTATGCACATAAAGCCATGGCTGTATATGCACAGACCTATCCCTCTTTGATGCCATGAATAACAACATTCAGAGCAAAAACATTACAACATGTTTTAAAAGACAATAGCGTACAGACAGAACAGTAATAAAATATTAGTGATTCAACCATAAATAACACACAAAATACATTGCTGTATCCACACCACTCAGCATTTATTTGATAGTTTTTAAAACATATGTTTATATATTATAATGCCTTTGGTCCCACAAAAATCACATCTAAGAATATTACATTTTGTATTTTACATGCATACAACAATAAACAAATGAAATAGCTAACATGAATTTCTGGGTGTGCACGTCTGTTTTGCTGGGAGAAGCAGGTGAAGCATGACTGTAACCTGGCAAGTGTCAGAACGGAAATCTGGCAGTTGCCATTGCTTGTTTTCACATTCCCCATTGCTGATATCCTCATCTTTTCTTCACTCCTTGGTAAGTCACTAAGCTGGTACAAGCTTGTCAATATCTGGTGTAGGATCACCAATAAGTGAATTAAGAATAAGGATGACACTAGGGAGTTTGTACCTTTAAAAATAATGGCAGCTCCCATATTTCTATCATGATTTCCTTTAAAGGAGAACTATGGGGTCAGTGTTTTTCCCCATAGTTCTCCTTAAGGTAATGGGAGGACACAAAATAGCGTCCTCCCGTTACCCTAAGCTCAGTATACCGCGAGCTATAGCTCGCGGTATACTGAGACGCAGCAGCCGGAGCGGATCCCGACTTAGATGACGGGATACGCCCAGCTGCGTGAGTGACAGCTGGCTCTGCCTATCTAGAGGCAGAGCCAGCTGTACCCGCCCCCTCTCCCGTCCGTTCCGCCAGTCAGCGCTGGCAGATCAGAGCGGGGAGAGGGGAATCCAGCCCCTCCCCTGTCGCGGCAGAGAGCCGTGACAGGATCGAGAGGCGAGCGAACCCGGTATGTGTTCGCTCACCTCCCGATCTACTGAGCCGACCTGTGACAGTCTCATTGTCACAGGTCGGCTAGAACTATGAGGTGAGTGAAAAGCACTCACCTCATAGTTCTCCTTTAAACTTAGAAACATTACAGAGATTGTGAAAATTAGCAATGTATTTTAATGTAGCATTCTTTGGGTGCATATTAAACGTTTTTTTGTAACTTTTTATACAGAAAATATTGATTCTTACAGTCTGTGCCTATTTAAAAAGCTTCTCAGAGCAATTTCTTCACTCATTTTTATATATTTTGACAGGTGAACAGAACAGATTCCCATCACCCCACCTACAAATCTATTTTAAAGATAATTTTGCCATTTTTTAAAGCTTTACAGCATTTTATAACTATTAATAAGCGGCCATACACTTAGCATGATCTATGATTTTCAGGAGATGCCATAATTATTTTTTATTTCGACACAATTTCACAATTTTGTTTTAATTTTTAACAGTCTGTGTTCTTTTCTTCTTTTCTTAGTTCTTCACACTTCTAAAGTTAGAGCATAGAGGAAATCAATGATTTTGCACCATAACTGGATAAACCTGGTACAGTGAAAAGCTAGTCATTATTTTCTATACCAACATAACCAGATGAACACTTGGTGGTCCTAAAGGTTGCCATAAACACGACAATTATTTTCAGGTTTGTATTAGGTGCATGCACCTCCCAAAACATCTGCAAGTCATTTTCTAAATTCACCTATTAATTATTTATTATTTATATTGGAATCCCACTTTTTGGTCTAATGAGGGACTGCTGACATAGACAGGGCCTCGTAGATGTCCCCTGGGAAGGCTATGTTACCAGTGCCTTCCAGGAAGATCTTGTCTCTGTACCTTGTGAGGCCTCGCGAGTTTTAGCAACCTCTCAAGATCTCAGGGAAAAGGTTCTATTTCTCCCCTCAGGTGACATGTAATGTCACATGTTCAAGGAGGCAGTTACAGAGTTATACGAGAAGTAATGAAATCCTGCAAGATTTCATCAATTCATTCATACACACACTACTACATTATTTGCAGGGGCACGTTATTAGGGAGTGGGGTGGAAAACTACTCCGGGAAGCAAAGGGAGACATAATCCTCTGCCTATGTTAAAATGCCCACCGGGATAAGGGCCCACAATTAAAAAAACAAAAATCGTAATCAATGAAAAAACAGCCTGCATTTTACCATTTTATAATGGTGCCTTTAAGTTATTTTTGAGGATCAGGGTGAAAGGCCATTTTAACCTGTACTAAGTACCCCTTTATTTTAATATGTGCAA